TTCTTTTGTTTTTGGCGCAGTGTGTCCAATATATTGGCCGACTAAATCATCACGTGTCACCGTTAATAGATGTCCTTTTTTAATATAGCCTAATTGATATAAAATATCCGCCATTTTTAAGCCAACAGTGGTTTTTCCGGTTCCTGGACTACCAGTAAAAGACATATGTAAACCTGGATTAGCAGATGTAATTCCTAAATTTCGTCGTAATTTATCGATTAGTAATAAAGCGGCAATCTCACGAATACGCGATTTAACAGGGGCTAACCCCACTAATTCTTCGTCTAAAAGATTCAAAATTTTTGCAATCTCAGTTTTAGCATATTCTTCTTGTAAATTAATAGGTGATGGATTCATAGAAACTAGCTCCAAAATTAAATAGAAATATTTTATATGTAAAACCAGAAAAAAACTGGTCTTACAATTTTCCAATTGCAACTAATTATAGTTAACTAATTGTAAAGGTTGGAATGCTTGATAGACAAATAAATGCGAAACCTGCACTTCCACATGCTCCAACAAAAAAGCCACCTTTAAATTGATCCCAAGCTTTTTTCGTCTGTAATTCATTTTCTGATACATTTGATTTTTCTGGACCAAAGGTTGCAACACCGTAAATTGTTAAGCCTAAGGTTAAAATAATAATTAAACCAATGGTTGACAAAAACCAGCAAATAGGGCAATATCCGAGTCACGTAGGGGACCTAATTTAACAAATGGGCCGATTAAAAAGTAACCATGCGCTAAACCAATTTCCAAACCACGTAATAAAGGTGTTAAACCAAATCTATACGCTGGTAAATTTTGTAAGATGGCACGTGTTACAGCTGACGATGTGATCGGCGTTGCTAAATGACCTACAAATGGATCATCGTTGTAAGGTTTAATAAAATTAGCCATAAAGTTAATTTAAAAATTAGTGAAATTAATAAGAAAATTTTAAAACTGAATCAAATCGATGGAAGGTAAAGAAGAAAAGAAAATTTTTACCAACCAAAATTTTTATATAGATTACTATATAATATATATTAATATACAGAAAAATTTTTATAAATTTCATTTTATTATAATAAAGAAGGTTTTTATGACAGTTGCTATAGACTATTTATTACTGATCGGATTTTGTTTTGCCCTTTCATCTGGGTTATTCTTAGGATTGAAATCAATTAAATTAATTTAATCTAAAAAAACTATATCAAATGCAAAACGAAATTCGTCGAGATAAAATTATTGGATCGCGACGTTTGAGTAACTATTTCTGGTCGTTCTTTTTATTTGTAGGTGGAATAGGGTTTTTATTAGCAGGTATCTCAAGTTATCTTAATATTAATTTATTACCCTTTGCAAATCCAACGGAATTGGCTTTCATCCCCCAAGGTTTAGTGATGATGTTTTACGGGACATTAAGTTTTGGAATAAGTGTCTACATTTTAATTACAGTATTTTTAGATATAGGAAGTGGTTATAATGAATATAATCGAATTGAAAATCTTGTTAAAATTGTTCGAAAAGGATTTCCAGGTAAAAATCGTGAAATTCTTTTAACTTATCCTTTTTCTAACATTCAATCGATTGGGATTAAAATTACGGAAGGATTAAATCCGACACGAAGTATCTACTTGTGTTTAAAAGACGATCGTAAAATACCCTTAACGCCGGTCCAGGACCCTACTTCGATTTCTAACTTAGAAGAAGAAGCAGCTAGTTTAGCTAAATTTCTGGATCTGAAATTAGAAAATATTTAAATTTTTATTGCTTTTATGCCCGTCGTATTAGTATAATATTATTGTGCGGGCATAGTTTAGTGGTAAAACCTTAGCCTTCCAAGCTAATGATGGGGGTTCGATTCCCCCTGCCCGCTTTCCAACAAAATTTCGAATGAGCAACAATCTTTTTTAGAAAGGAATATATTATGTCTGGTGGATCTACTGGTGAACGTCCGTTCTCAGATATTATTACGAGTGTACGTTATTGGATTATTCATAGTATTACGATTCCGTCACTTTTTGTATCAGGATGGTTATTTGTAAGTACTGGTTTAGCATATGATGTATTTGGAACACCACGTCCAAATGAATACTTTACACAAGATCGTCAACAAATTCCCCTTGTAAATGATCGATTCAGTGCAAAACAAGAGTTAGAAGATTTAACGAAAGGTTTATAATTTTTAAAGGAAAAAATCATGGCAAAAAATATTAATCAACCTGTAGCTTATCCAATTTTTACTTTCCGTTGGTTAGCAGTTCACGGACTAGCAGTTCCAACAGTATTCTTTTTAGGCGGAATTACAGCGATGCAATTCATTCAACGATAAATTACTATATTATAGATACGAGGTAATCTTTTATGACAGGTCCAAATCCAAATAAACAAGCAGTTGAGTTAAATCGAACGTCTCTTTATTGGGGACTTTTATTAATTTTTGTTTTAGCAGTACTGTTTTCAAGTTATTTCTTTAATTAATACTTAGATACAAGGAGCTTTTTTTATGGCAAATACAGGTAGAATTCCTTTATGGCTTGTAGGGTTAGTAGGTGGATTAGCAGTAATTACCATGCTATCATTATTTATTTACGGCTCATATTCAGGGTTAGGTTCATCATTGTAAATATAGAATAAAAATTTAGTTTCAACTACTAGGATGAAATGATTAGTAGTAGTTGAAACTAAATAATTTTTTTAGTTGGTTTTATTTTCGAAATTGCTGCAATACTCTCCGGATTACTTTCATAAAAGTTCGTTGAAATGGCATCAAAATCCAAATTTCACTCGTTCCATTTCCAAACCATCCATACCATAGTTTAGGAAATCGACGTTGTATATTTTTTTGTTTTTCATCTTGCCAAGCGGTTTGTCCACCACTATAAATACTATTTTTAGGACGTGGTCCAATATGAAGCTCTGTATTTTCGACTAAGAACGGAAAATAAAAGTATTGACCCCAAATCGCATGAAAAAGACCAAAACAAATTGATCCTAAATGAATGGTTACACAGATTGTTAAAATACTTGTCAATAAATTAAATTGTAGTAATAAATTCGGATCGAAATAATTATTGGCAGCTGCAATTGATAACTTTTCTTGAATTATAACTTCTTGAAAATACATTACTCGATATAAAAATAGATTAGGATTTGTTCCACAAATCCAATAATTAATAAGAAAGTCCAATGCCAACGAATCAAATATGGACAATATCGTTTTCCAATTCGAGTAATAATCGCATAGGCTGCAATTCCTGATAATTGATTCCAAAATTCACTTATGGTTTCGAATAACCTTGGAATGATCGTATTATAAATTTTGTAATAAATCGGTAATACTTTCATTTTACTGGTTTCGTTTAAATTGGAAATAATCATTGAAATGGGGTCAATATAATATTGAACACCGGTTTCCGAATCTGTATGAACAATTCCTTTGGTGAATGCATAATAAACTAATTTACCTGGATTATACCAATGAACATCAGATCCTAATTTTAAGTCGGTTGTCAATAATGCTTCACTACCTGATTCAAGTTCGATCGCACTAGCTCCCAATCTTTGCAGGTATGGTACTTTAATCAACATTTGACGATACATCAAAATAACATCAATAAAATGTCGATACCATAGATAACCTGCACAAAGTCCGATAGTCGTTATATAAATGGATGTCTTTAAATTATAACGAAAGATTAAAATGATAAATCTGACAAAGAGAAGAAAGAAAATCAGACTTTCAATATCAGCTAGGCTTAATCCATCTTGAATTTGTTTCCAAAGCCCTTCTATAATTAATTGAAGGGTCTCAATTGAGAATGCTGAAGGTGATTCTAGGTTTTCAATAGCTAGCTGAGAATGATATGGATCTAATCCAGGTGAAATGATGGAAGGAGTTCGTAAATTTTCAATTCCAAACCAATTCAAAATTGTTTCTTGATCAACATGGATTAAAAACAGTAAAAGTCTAAGAGAAGATAACATAAATTTATTTTATTAAGATTTTTGATCTTAAAAGCGAAAATTTTTGACAATTGAAGTAAATTCAATTGCTCTATTAAAATTAAAGACTTCTAAAAAGTATAATTATAATTATATGTGAAACTCTGATTTGTCAAGTTCTATAGGATCACGATCGAAAAAGAGTTTGAGATTTATTTACTTGACAAGGTAAACTATAATTGGGTTGCCTGGGACTCGAACCCAGAACAGCTCGGTTAAAAGCCGAGTACTCTACCATTGAGTTAGCAACCCTCCTAATGGAACTACATTACATGCTACCATAAATTTCGAAAATCGTAAACTATTTATTTAACCTTTCGAAAAAAATAATATTTTACTTTATTAATTTTTAAGTAGAATTATAAGTAACATTAGTGGTTATTCTAGTACTCAAAATTTTATTAAAAAATTAATAATAAGGATTAAAAAATGATTAATTGGCAAATTATAGGACAATTATTAGCAACAGGTGTGATTATGTTATCTGGCCCAGCAGTAATTGTTTTATTAGCGTTAAAAAAAGGTAATCTTTAAATTTACTCTATTTTACTTTGATCGTCTGTATCGTCATATAAACAAACTTAAAAATAATTATGATAACTGCATTAACAGCTCTATTCGTTTTAATCTCATTAGCTTTAGTTGTAACCGTTCCGGTAGCATTAGCAACGCCAGGTGAATGGGAAAGTTCAAAAGATAATTTCAACAAAATTTTTCAAGCTTGGATTGTTTTAGTATTTGCTATTGCGGCAGCAGATGGTATTACAAATTCTATTTAAATATTCTGAAATTATAGTTTCATACTATAATTTCAAAATATTTATTGTTGACAAATAATAGAGTTTTTGGTAATCTATGTTGCAGTAGGACACAAGAACCTATTTTAAGGTTTAATATGCCAGCGGGCATAGCTCAGTGGTAGAGCGCAACCTTGCCAAGGTTGATGTCGCGCGTTCGAATCGCGTTGCCCGCTTAAAGCTTATTCTTCCTAGTTATTCTATTAACATTTCTGCCCCCATCGTCTAGTGGCCTAGGACAGCTCCCTTTCACGGAGCAGACAGGGATTCGAGTTCCCTTGGGGGTATTCTATTTTTATATGTAGTACAACTAGACTTTTCAGTAATCGTTTAAAAAATTCGTAAGTTTACGTGTCAAAGAATTCTATATGATTAATATCAACTGGTTTTATCAAACGAATCTCTGCTGACAAGTCAATAAGACTCGAATCATAACGACTAGTACTAAATTCTTTGTGCTTCATTATTTCATACTTTTTTTTTATTGCTTAATCGAGAATCAGGCATAAAAACTTAAATCTTACGCTCTTCGAGCCTTCGTTTATGTCCGGTTACTAAGACGATGTTTGCATCTAACACATTGGGTCAAGTTCAATCGTGTAAGGATTGCTCCAATTTAGTTGAAGAAAATTGTGGGTCAAACAATGATCTCACTGTTAGCTCTTCAATTCCAGTTTCTTCTTACAAATAAAAATCTCCTACTAACCCTTAAATAAGGAAGAACTTTGACACTATAGAACAATCCTATCTTCCATAATAATGATAGCCATAAATCTAGTATTTCAACCAATAGAATGAATCAGGATTTCTAATTTATGCTTTTATCCGTAGATAAAATTATTAAACCATAATCGTTGATTCAGATCCAAATAAAATTAGCAACTGCAGCTATCCCTACCGTTCCATATTTATATTTAGTATTGATCGTCTTTTGGATGACTCGATGTTTTTGTTTCAATAAACGCAATAGAAAAAATATTGTGTTTATGGTAAATAATCTTTTAGAAAATTTTGGAACATTTGTTTATTTTTGGAACATGATCGAATTCAATTTAATCTTGCGATAAGGTTTCTTAGTTTGGCTTTTTTACCATTGTTCTCACTATCAACAGTTTAGAATGACAGACAAAATCAGTCCATAGAATGATTTAGCTCTTTTATAAATAGCTACCATAAAAAGTGGATACTAGTCTATTTTAACTTGAAAAGTCCTATAGATTTTGTTTATACACAATATTATTGGAAATAGACAATCTGGGCTCGGAGGTCAGAGGTTTAGAGTAATAATAATCATTAATTCGCGATAGTAATAGTAGGACACTACCATATGAATCTTTTCCACCCAAAACCTTACTTGAGTTTATCAGAGGAAAAAAGTTAACTTATTTTGTAGTTTAACGAATAAATAATAAATAATAAATACAATCATTAGAAAATGATTGTATTTATAAATTTTAGATTAATCAATAGGACGCATTGATAATACAGGTTCATTAGCACGGTTAATACCTTTTTCGAAACCAGCAGCTGCCGCACGAGCACGGCCTGAATGCCACCAATGGCCAACTAAAAAGAAGAAGGCTAATGTGAAATGTGAACAACATAACCATGAACGAGGTGATACATAGTTTACAGAGTTAATTTCTGTTGCTACACCACCCACAGAGTTTAATGATCCTAATGGAGCATGAGTCATATATTCGGCAGCACGACGTTCTTGCCATGGTTGAATATCATTTTTAATTTTATTGATATCTAAACCGTTTGGACCACGTAATGGTTCTACCCATGGTGCACGTAAATCCCAGAAACGCATTGTTTCACCACCAAAATAATTTCTCCACTTGGAGAACGCATTAAGTATTTCCCTAAACCAGTTGGACCTTGTGCTGATGACACGTTAGCACCTAAACGTTGGTCACGAACTAAGAATGTAAATGCTTGTGATTGTGATGCTTCTGGACCTGTTGGGCCGTATAACTCACTTGGGTAAGCTGTATTATTGTACCAAGAATATAATGAAGCTGTCCATCCCATTAACGCAATTGCAGCTAAACTATATGAAAGATATGCTTCACCTGACCATACGAACGCACGACGTGCCCATGCGAATGGTTTTGTAAAGATATGCCAAATTCCACCAGTAATACATAAAATTCCAACCCAAATGTGTCCACCGATGATGTCTTCCATGTTGTTTACAGAAACAACCCAACCATCTCCACCAAATGGAGAGCGGAATACATAACCAAAGATAACAATCGGATTTAATGTAGGTGTCGTAATAAAACGAACATCTCCACCACCTGGTGCCCATGTATCATATACACCACCGATATACATTGCTTTCGCTACTAACAAGAAAGCACCACAACCTAGTAAGCATAAATGAATACCTAAAATAGTTGTCATTTTATTTTTATCACGCCAATCATAACCAAAAAATGGGAATGATTCTTCCAATGTATCTGGACCTAATAATGAATGGTAAATACCACCAAATCCTAACACTGCTGACGAAATTAAATGAATAACACCAACGGCAAAATATGGTACAGTTGTCGTAATTTCTCCCCCTGGACCAATTCCATAGCCTAAGGTTGCTAAATGTTGCATACAGATAAAACCTTGCTCGTATAAAGGTTTTTCTGGTACGAAATGAGAAACCTCAAATAAAATCATTGCACCAGCCCAAAATACCATTAAACCAGCATGAGCAACGTGTGCACCTAATAATTTACCTGAAACATTGATTAAACGAGCATTTCCACTCCACCAAGCAAATCCAGTAGACTCAATATCACGGCCTGCTATACTACTATTAAAGGGCGTTTCCACGTGGTAATACCTCCTCAGGGAATACAAAGTTTTCATGTGGTTGATCTTGTGCAGCCATCCAAGCACGAATACCTTCGTTTAATAAAATATTTTTTGTATAGAATGTTTCAAATTCCGGATCTTCCGCTGCACGTAATTCTTGTGAAACGAAATCATATGCACGTAAGTTTAATGCTAAACCAACGATACCAATAGCACTTGTCCATAATCCAGTTACTGGTACGAACAACATGAAGAAATGTAACCAGCGTTTGTTAGAAAATGCTACACCAAAAATTTGTGACCAGAAACGATTCGCTGTAACCATTGAATATGTTTCTTCTGATTGAGTTGGTGTGAATGCACGGAATGTGTTCGCAGCATCACCATCTTCAAATAAAGTATTTTCTACTGTTGCACCGTGAATTGCACATAGTAAAGCACCACCTAAAATTCCTGCAACACCCATCATATGGAATGGATTTAATGTCCAGTTATGGAAACCTTGTAGGAATAATAAGAAACGGAAAATTGCAGCTACACCAAAACTTGGTGCAAAGAACCAACTTGCTTGTCCTAATGGGTATAATAAGAATACTGAAACAAAGACAGCAATTGGACCAGAAAAGGCAATTGCGTTGTACGGACGAATCCCTACTAAACGAGCAATTTCAAATTGACGTAAACAGAAGCCAATTAAACCAAATGCTCCATGTAAAGCAACAAATGTCCATAAACCACCGATTTGACACCAACGAGTGAAATCACCTTGTGCTTCAGGACCCCATAAAAGTAATAATGAGTGCCCCATACTGTTTGCTGGAGTTGAAACTGCGGCTGTTAAGAAGTTACATCCTTCCAGATAAGAACTTGCTAAACCATGTGTGTACCATGACGTTACAAATGTTGTACCTGTCATCCATCCACCAGCTGCTAAATAAGCAGTAGGGAATAATAATAAACCTGACCAACCAACGAAGACGAATCGATCTTTTTTTAACCAATCATCTACTAGATCAAATAAGCCACGTTCTTGGTTTTGCCCAATAGCAATGGTCATATTTTAATAATCCTTTCATTCAAGTATTTTTGAATAGAGTAAACATAATAAGATATTTTTTACTCTAAGTCTTTCCAATCTACCGTAACATTATATAATAAAAATTAAAAAAATAGGATAACTAAGAAAAATAATTGGACATACCAAAATAAAAAGTTTTAAAAATTGATGATTCAAATCTTTTTATTGGATCCATTGTAGATAGGATTGAGATTCTTAGTCTAAGTTTTCTTTTAAATACATTCGTTTGAGAGATAATTTACTTCAAATGAATGTATTTTAGACTCACAATTTGTGAGACATGTAGAGTTAGATAGTTTTCAATCTTAAAATTAAAAAATATTACTATTAACTAATATCATCAATGGAACTATAAATGAAGAATAATGCCATACTAAGCGCAGGAAAAACTAACCCAACAAGTGGAACTAAGATTGCCGGTAAAAATGCAGCTGTCATATTTTTATTCTATAAAATTTTTTATTTGCATGTAAGTATCTACACCGTCAAATTGTATATTAAAATTTAATAAAATGAAACATTAATTATTAATAAAAATTTCTTTGATTTTATAGTAGAATTAATATTATTAAATCTAATAGTTTTAGTCTTACTTTTAAAATATATTATTATTTATGGAAACATTATTATTATCTCGTTTACCAGAATCATACGTTATCTTCAGTCCAATTGTGGATGTATTACCAATTATTCCACTTTTCTTTTTATTACTAGCATTCGTTTGGCAAGCTGCAATTGGATTTAGATAATTTTACACTTATAAATGTAAAAAGTCGTTGTATAATGCTACGGAAAAGATATATTTACTTACGTTTATAATCAAAATACAAACATATGGTTGAACCTTTATTATCTGGAATAGTTCTAGGACTAATTACTGTAACGGCACTTGGTCTTTTTGTGGCAGCATTTTTACAATATCGACGAGGAAGTCAATTTGAAGTTTAAATATGTTTTAAAATCCTAAAAATAATTTTTTAGGATTTTAAAACATATTTAAATTTTAGTTAAGAGAAGTCAATTCTTTGAAAATTTATCTTAACGTATAGTTTTAACTATTTTTTATGTTTGTTAGAATATATTATGAAACTATTTCACAATAGTCGTTGTATATAACTTAATCTTAAATTTTTTCACTACCGATCCAAACAAAATATAGTTAGTAGAAATTATGACTAGCTGGTGAAGGGACTTGAACCCCCAACCTACGGATTACAAATCCGTTGCTCTACCATTGAGCTACACCAGCAAATTAAAATTAATAGTATCTTTAACGATACAATCTTTACCCAAACCTACTATGTCTTTCTTAGATACAATGTAGTTAAAAAGTGATCATTTGTCAAGTCTTAAAAGAGTAGGGTATAGTTAGTTGGCAAAAATTGATTAGGCCCAGTAGGAATCGAACCTACATTGATGATTTAGAAAATCACTGTCCTAATCCGTTAGACGATAGGCCCTTTACTTCAATTAGAAAATGGGTAATACAGGATTTGAACCTGTGACCTTCTGCTTGTAAGGCAGACACTCTACCACTGAGTTAATTACCCATTTGTCTACTTAATACCACTACTACGACAATATTTATACAAAAAAGCAAATAAAATGTCAATAGTTAAATTTGTTTGACTATTACGTTTTTCTATGTTAAGCTATGGTTTAAGAATGGGTCGGTGTCCGAGTGGTTAAAGGAGGCGGATTGTAAATCCGTTGCGATATGCTACGTTGGTTCGAATCCAACCCGGCCCACTTTAAACTTAACTTGCAAATCTGAGAAGAGACTCCAGAATTTTTTGAGTGGTAGATTTAAAACCCAACCATTTTTTGAAGGATTATATACAAGAGTCCAAAGACTCCAAAGATACTTACAATGCCAATCAAGCGAAAGCGAGGAATTTTAACTAAATTTCGAATAGGAGCAATAATAATTAAAATTAATCCAACTAAACTACTGATAAAAAATCGTGGATAACGAGATATATTATTCCAAAAATCATTCATAATAAAAATTAGAGATGTTTACTAACTGTTATGATTATACACTTTAATCAGTCAAACTCGATCTACTATTATTGAATGTTATGGTTTTTTTAAGACTCTTTTAAAAATTATTCAGTCTACTAGAATTTTTTGTTAGTCTAAAAATTCTCCTCAAATTCTTTATTTATTAAAAGTGTGTTATAATTTAATGTAATGAAAGTAGTCTAAGGCTCTGTAGCTCAGTGGTAAGAGCAGGGGATTCATAAGCCCAAGGTCGTAGGTTCAACTCCCACCAGAGCCATCTACTTTTTAAAACTATGTTTATTTCGGAGAAATGGCTGAGTGGTCGAAAGCAATAGATTGCTAATCTATCGTACAATTTTTTGTACCCAGGGTTCGAATCCCTGTTTCTCCTTTGTTTCAATTAAAAAAATTGACATTTTTTAGAAACTCGAGTAGTCTTTGTTTAGTTTATACAGTTTTATTGGGATTGTAGTTCAATTGGTTAGAGCACCGCCCTGTCACGGCGGAAGTTGCGAGTTCGAGTCTCGTCAGTCCCGTTTTATGCTTTTCTATGCTACAATTTTTATCGATGATAAAAAAACTTGTTCGATTTGTTACTATTGATCAGAGTTTATCGAAAAAAATTTTAAATTATCACTAAGCGTTCAATGAAAAGGACAATAGATAAAATTTAATAATAATATTAATCATATTATTATTAAATCAAGATTATTCGCCTTGTACTTTTAACAGCGCAAATCCTAATGAAAGACCAAATAAAGTCATTAAGAAGCATATTACTGCTGTGCTAACAATTTCTGGACTTGCATACGGAAAAATTTGTTTGATTAATTCCATAATATTTTTATTCTAAAACGAGTTTAAATAATTAGAAACCATTTCGAGCCCAAACCGTTAACGCCAATGAAAACGTAAACATTGTCATTAAACCGGCCCAACCTAGACTGATAATATCCATAGAGATATGTATATATATGTTTAATTTTTGCAATTTTTATAATTTAAGAAAACAAGTCTGTTTTCTTAAATTATTTTCTTTATTATTATACAATACCGTTTGACCAATCTACATCAACATTTTCAATGATTAATGATGAGTTATAAATTTGTAAAATAATTAATAAAAAAACTAAGAATGCTGCCATTACTACACCCATAATTGGAGTCGTACCCCAACCTGGCGCAACTTTACCATATTCAGCATTTAAGGGGCGTAAAATTTCACCTAATCTTGTTCGTAATGCCATATTTAAATTTTATAAGTTAATTTTTCTATTATTATGATATATAATGTTAAGACGTTAATCATAATTTATATATATATCATGGAAACAGCAACTATTATTGTAATTTTTGTATCGAGTTTACTTTTAGGAATTACTACATATTCTATTTATACGGCTTTTGGACCAACGTCAAAAACTTACGGGATCCATTTGAAGAACATGAAGATTAAAAAATAAAACCAATTAAATTGGTTTTATTTTCTAAGAATTCGAGGCGTATCACGGAAAAATACGGCAAAGAAAATTACCATTAACGTACCAATAAGTAAAAATGTATAAACTAAAGCTTCCATTGTTTGTGATTTTAGTTAATTATAAAGAAATTTAAAAACCTGATAGTAGTTTATTTTAAACAGCACCTTGTTTTTTAGTTGATTTGTCACCAAGTTTTTGGAATGCACCGAATTCAACTTGTTCTGTAACTTCCGCACCAATACCTGTAAATACATCACGGAAAATTGTTCGGCCACCATGCCATAAATGTCCAAAGAAGAACAATAAGGCAAAGTTTGCATGACCAAATGTATACCAACCACGCGGACTACTTCTAAATACTCCATCAGATGCCACACTTGTTCTATCAAATTCGAAGACTTCTCCTAGTTGAGCTTTCCGTGCAAATTTCTTAACTGTTGGTGCGTCTTTGAAGGTTTGTCCATTTAGTTTACCACCATAAAAGTCAACTGTCACACCAACTTGCTCAATACTGTATTTTGATTCCGCACGACGGAATGGAATATCAGCACGAATAATTCCATCTTTATCTACTAAAATAACTGGGAATGTTTCGAAGAATGCAGGCATACGTCGCACTGTTAATTCTCGACCTTCTTTATCACGGAAAATTGGATGACCTAACCAAGCTTCAGCAATTCCATCACCTTTATTCATAGGACCAGCACGGAATAAACCACCTTTCGCCGGGTTATTTCCAATGTAATCATAAAAAGCTAATTTATCTGGAATTCGTGACCAGGCTTGGCTTTCAGATAAACCTTCACTTACTGAAGCTTCTACTTGTCTTTCAATTTCTTGTTGGAAATAACCACTATCCCATTGATAACGAGTTGGTCCAAATAACTCAATTGGTGTTGCTGCAGCACCATACCACATTGTTCCAGATGTTACAAATGCTGCCCAAAATACAGCTGCAATACTACTTGATAAAACTGTCTCAATGTTACCCATTCGTAATGCACGATATAAACGTTGTGGTGGACGAACTGTTAAATGGAAAACACCTGCGAAAATACCGAATATTCCTGCAGCGATATGATGAGCAGCGATACCACCTGGATTAAACGGGTTAAAACCATCTGCACCCCACGATGGAGCTACTGGTTGAACACGCCCCGTGATTCCATACGCATCAGAAACCCAAATCCCAGGACCAAATAAACCAGTTACGTGGAATGCTCCGAACCCGAAACATGCCAATCCTGATAAAAATAAATGAATACCGAAAATTTTTGGTAAATCTAATGCTGGTTCACCTGTCCGTGGATCCCGGAATAATTCTAAATCCCAATAAACCCAGTGCCAAATAGCAGCTAAGAAACACATTCCTGATAAAATAATATGAGATAAAGCTACACCTTCAAAACTCCAAATCCCAGGATTTGATACACTTTCACCAGTAATACTCCATCCACCCCAAGAATCAGTGATACCTAAACGAGTCATAAACGGCATAACAAACATACCTTGACGCCACATAGGATTTAAAACTGGATCAGAAGGATCAAAAACAGCTAATTCATAAAGTGCCATTGATCCAGCCCAACCTGCAACTAAAGCTGTGTGCATTAAATGAACTGCAATTAATCTTCCAGGGTCATTTAAAACAACAGTGTGAACACGATACCATGGTAATGCCATAGTAATACATTCCTCAATATAAATAATGGTTTTTGACTTTCTTACAACTAAACTACATAAAAGCTAGCTAACTTATTATTATAAGTAAAGATTAAAAAAATTAATCAAATTTAATGATATACTCATTAAGAAAAAATTTTTCTTTTCTTGACTTTTTGAAAATTTAAAAGTACTATCACCTCGTCAGTAATAAAAAATTTATTAATATAAAGAAAGCAATTTCAAGTAATTTTCTACAAAAAACGCCTTTAAAAAGTTTTGTAGCTCACTAAAACTAGTGGAGTTTTTTGAGTTCTTTGAAATTAAAATTCTTATTGTAGCGAACAGTAATTCTAATTCTGTAAAATTTTTAACCCTATTCTATTAAATTTTAATAATTCAACAAAATTGTTATGGCAAAAAAAAGTATGATCGAACGCGAGAAAAAAAGAATTCGCTTAGAAAAAAAATATGCTCTTAAGCGAGTTAATTTATTACAAGATTATAAAAACGAACAAAGTTTTACAGGAAAACTTGAAATTCATTCGAAAATTCAACAATTACCGCGGAATAGCGCAAAAATTCGGATTCGTAATAGATGTTGGAAAACCGGTCGCCCGCGCGGAGTGTTTCGTGATTTTGGGGTCTCTCGGCATGTTTTTCGTGAGATGGCTCATCAATGTTTGTTACCAGGTGTAACAAAATCAAGCTGGTAATAAACTCTAAATTAATTTATTCATTTTTTGGAATTTAATTTATAATCACATGTATATATCGAAAGGATGTTTTTGTTATAATCTACCATCGAATTTTTCTAGAATTACAAAATTTTACTTTTTAATTGTTAGGAGTTTTTATGATCTATGACTCACAAGTTTACACAGCCCTATGCATTGCATTATTAGCAGCGGTTTTAGCAATTAGTTTAGGTACAGCTCTTTATGAATAAGAAATCTTAACAACTTTTGTTAAGTACAAATTCCACAACAAATTTTAAAATTAAATATTTTCTAATAAAATTTATGGCACAAGAAGAATTAAAAAATTTTACTACTCCAGTTTTTCCGTTTACAGCTATTGTTGGTCAAGAGGAAATGAAGTTGGCCTTACAACTAAATGTTATTGATCCTAAGATTGGTGGTGTAATGATTATGGGTGATCGTGGAACTGGTAAATCAACAACAATTCGAGCGATTGCAGATTTACTTCCAAAAATCGAAGTAGTAGCGGATGATCCTTTTAACTCACATCCAACCAATTTAGAATTAATGAGTAATGAAGTGAAAACATTAATTCAAAATGATTCAAATGATATTAAAACAGAATGGATCAAATTCCAATGGTGGATTTACCATTGGGTGCAACAGAAGATCGAGTATGTGGGACAATTGATATTGAAAAAGCTTTAACGGAAGGTGTGAAAGCATTTGAACCTGGATTACTAGCAAAAGCTAATCGAGGTATCCTTTACGTAGATGAAGTTAATTTATTAGATGACCATTTAGTAGATATTTTGTTAGATTCAGCAGCGTCAGGCTGGAACACAGTTGAGCGTGAAGGAATATCTATTCGTCATCCAGCACGGTTTGTTTTAGTTGGATCA